CCCCACCCCCCCCGCCGGGGAGCTGTCCCTTCCCGGGCCAGGTGCGCGAGCTTGCGCGCTCCTCCTCCGCCTCCTCCGGCGGGTCCCTGGCGCGCCGGAGCCGGGGCCCGCTGGGGCGGATGCGCGCACGGCGCCTCTCCACCAACCCGCTCCCCTGCAGGTCCCTCGCTCGCTCTCCATCCCTTGCCGGCGCTCCCTCGCTTCCCCCGCCCTTTGATTGACAGACAAGATGTCGGTGTGGAGCGAGGCAGGAGCGAATGCAGCAGCCGTCACCCCCGGAGCCCGGCGGCGGCAGCGACAGCAGCAGCAGCAGCCCCAGCGCGAGGAGACAGCAGCCAGCCGCAGTCGCCGCCGCAGCCGCGGGAGCAATGCAGCCAGCATCCTGAGAACGCGCTAAAGCACCCCAAACGGTGGACAATGCCGTGTCCCTGCAACGGGGAGAGGGGCAAACCAGATTTTTTTTTGACATAAAAGCCAGCCAGCCAAAAAAATATATATAATTTTGCCCTTCACGGAGCCGGTGTGTAAAGCGTGAGCGCTATTTTCCTTCTTCTCCGCCTCTCCCCCGTCCTTGCCTTCCTCCCCCTCCTCCTCCCCCTCCTCCCCCTCCTCCTCCTCCCTAAGTGTACGGACAGCATCACATCACCTGGTTTGCTTCTGAGAAACAGCCTCTCTCCTTTTCAAGGGACCAGAGACTCAAGAGAAAGGAGACGTTCTCATGGAGTCGGCTTGATACCCCCAAAATAAAATAATAAATCTTAGCGCTTGTCCCCTCCCCCGCACCCCCCGCAACCCTATGTGAGATGTTGGGTTCCTTCTTCATGAGACATTGTTGAGAAGTCGCAGTGGTTGGAGAGGCGTAGGGGGTAGACTACCTCTAGTCCCCCCCCCTCCCGCCCGCCCCCCCCCTTTTTTCTCTCTGGGAGAAGGAGGAGGGGAAGGGGGCTTGCAGAGCAAGCGATGGATGAGGAAAACATGACGAAAAGCGAGGAGCAGCAGCCTCTGAGTTTGCAGAAAGCCTTACAGCAGTGCGAGTTGGTCCAAAACATGATAGACCTGAGCATCTCCAACCTGGAAGGGCTTAGGACCAAATGTGCTACCTCCAACGACCTCACACAAAAAGAAATCCGGACCCTGGAGGTAGGTGTTGCTTAAGGGGTGGGGGGGGGGAGGTTGGGGGAAAGCAAGCCTTCTTTCCCTCCCCTTTCTCCCCGCCATCCCCTTTCCTTTGATTCTGTTTGCTGGGGGTGGGGGGGTGGGGGTGGGAGGGTAGCAAGAGGGCACAACGGTTTTCTGTGATTTATCTTCTTGCAAAGCCTGCCCTGGATGTCCCTTTACTGTACCGCTGTCGTCTACGCTTGGCTGGGTGGTGGGAGTAGTAGTAGTAATTGTTATTCGTTCTTTATTATTATTCTTGCGGCTGTTATTATCATTCGCTTCCTCTCCGAGGAGTGAGTTCTCGCTCTTTTCCGCTTGTGGATTTGTTTATATGCCACAGGGGTTTGTGTGCTTGGGTAAGACATTAGGGCGCTGCGGAGAACCCACGTGATCTTGCGCATTCTGCAGGTGGTCAAAAGGTGGTTTTTGCTCGCAGAATGGGGTTGCCTATAAATATAGACCTCTTCTCCCGGCCTCCGTCCCAGCCTCTGTTTGCTCCCTGGATTTTGTGGTTTTGCGTTTTCTTGTGTGTTTGTTTGTTTCAGTGATATAACATGTCAGGAGGCAAGATGCATTAAAAAAAGAAATCCTCATTTGAGCTCCCCATTTCCAGCCAAATCATGTCGATGCAGGGAGCTGTTGCAGGCCCAAAACGTGTATAACGATTAAAAAAAAAAAAGAGCCTGGATCAGCACACACAAGTGGTGTGGGAAAATACTCTTGGATCTCGGTGGGATAGCAAACCAGGTGATGGTGATGCTGTCTGTACACTTAGGGAGGAGGAGGGACCCAGAAGGAGAAGAGGAAAGAGGTAGGAGGAGGAGTTATCTTTGGCGTGTTGTAACATTCTCTCCAACAGAACTTGAGGGGGAGTTTGAAGCAGTTTTGTGTGTGTGTGTGTGTGGGGGGGGGGTGGATGCAAAGTTACCCAGAAAGAAGATGGCAGAAGTTGCTTCTTGCGAAGGCCCTTTGGTCAAAGGAGGAAGATTTCAAGAGCCTTAGACTATGCCTGGTGCCCACCAAATCATTGGGCACCCAGGTTGTTTGAAACATCTGAAGGGCTTGACTCCCTTCCCGGTCCCTCCAACTGGCCCAGCTGTCCACATGGCTTGATTACATTTGGGAACTCCCATTAGCTGGCAGTTGCTGAGGGTGGTGACACTGGGGCTGGGAGCCAAGGAAAGAGGCTCTTCCTGTGGTGGAGGAGGCATGTGCAGTGTGGGCAGCCCGCGGGTCTCCAAGGCCTGAACTCTTCGGTCCTTACTCAGTCCTTTCACCCTCCTGTCTCCATGCTAGCCTGGATGAGCACCTCTCTCTGAGTCACTTTCAAGTCTTTTTCTTCCATGGTTTTAGATTTGGCTGGCCATCAGCAGGCAGGGAGGTCATCAGTTTGAAAGTGGAGTTAGTGCCATGTGTGTGTGTGTGTGTGTGTGTGTGTGTGTGTGTTGAATATGCTGTTTGCTACCTTAGAATACATGTCTCTGGGCACCTGTCACCTGGGAAAATGATCCTCAGAAATGAAATCAGATGAATGTCAAGAGGTGTCAGAGGAGTGGAAATTCTGTTGGGAAGCCAGTATTTTCTTTCTTGGAGCTTTGGGAGAGCAGTCGAGGCTAGGACTCTGCTGCTGGGAGAAAAAGCATGGGATGCCCTGACCCAGCCTTCTGCTGTCTGAGCAGCGCGCAAGATAAGACTCTGTTCCGAACTGCATGCCGTAAATAAATAAATAACCCAAAGGGCCACCTGCGGCCTCGCCTGTTCCTCTGAGCCAGGAGTCCCACATGCTAATTTGTGTATTATTGTATAAATTTCTCCAGTTTTCTTTTCCTCTGTTCAACATTCTCTTTCCTCTGACGAGTCCCTGGACAATGGGGATTGTCGCAGTGGGCCCTGGATCCGGCGGTGTCTTTCCTACCTGGTGGTTCTCCTTTTAAACTGGGGGAAGGAGGCATTGGTAGGGTGGGAAGTTACAGGTATTGGGACTGCATCTCTGTGTTAGTTTCCTAGTCCCAATATGTCTCAGAACGTGCCAACCACCACTTCATCCATATTGCCCAAGGAAGGATCTCAAGCAATTATGCTGTTTAGGCTTCTCAGATCTCTAGGTCTAGAGTGGGCCCACGGAGGAGGGCTGGTGACTTGGGGACCAGCTACCTGCTGCCGAACTTCACTTAGGCTTTGAACCCACGGGGATTTTTTTCTTTTTATCCCAACAATTGCCAAATTTTGTATATCAAAATACCCGGGGGGCTTGTTAAAAATGCACATTCTCAGCTCTCCCAGAGAGCCTAATTCAGTTGGGATTGGGGGGGGGGCCAGGCATCTGCATTAATAAACAGCCCAGCTGTTGATAATGCATGTTTTCATATTGACACTTTGAGAAGTATTAATCTATCAGGAGATAGATGTCATTTCTCAGCTACTTCATAGTAACAACTTCCTGCTCCCAAACACCACATAAAACATTAAATTGAACAGACCATCCCTGAAAACCATGGTAATAAGCAAAATGTACTAAAATGCATATACCCCTGTAGAAACAAAAATATACAACACAGATTTAGCTTTCAAGAAGCATACTTCATGGTTAGAGAGGCCAGGCTGATAATATATATGTGAAATAGCGATAAAGCCCAAACAGTTAATAATATGGAGAAAAGCGCATGGGTCCATTAGGAATGGGTTCAGCTCCATGAAGTGGAAAATCCAACTACAGTGGGTAAGCGAATTGTAGTTTCTTTTTCCCATGTAACAAGAAGCCTGGTAGTATGTAGCTGCTTGAGTTGGCTCCGTAAGTTAATCATATCACGGCTGATGTCTTTGCAAAGTCTCATGGTTGCAAGATGGCCCCTGAAGCTTCAGCCATCACACCAGGGTTCAAGGCGGGAAGGAAGGGAGCTGGGTGAGTGCGAAGGCATAACGGGGTTCATGTCTTTGTTTGGCTCCCCCAGGACACCTTCTCCTGCCTACCCCACAGATGATGTTGAATTATATCTTCTTGACCAGAACTGGGTCAACTGGTTAGTCCTAGCTGCAAGGCTGGGGCGTGGAGAAGTGGGAACACCATTGTGATTGGTTTGATGGGTTATGCTGCATTGCTTTGGTTGATCTATCGCCACTGCATAAAAATAAGGGTGCTGCTGGCATGCAAGAAGGCATGAAGGGATGTTGGGTGGATAGCCAGCGCGTCAGCACAGTGTGTTCTAGGGAGATACTTTGGTGCGGACGAAAGACTGTGAACTTTGGAGTCAGACTAATGTAGTTTTGAATTCTCGCTTTTCTACTTAACTCTGCCTTGGGCTAGTGGTTTAGCTTTTCGGATCCATGGTTTCATTTTTTGGCAAAATGGCGATGACAGAATAATATTACCTACCTCAGAGGTGGTTGTGAGGATGAAAAGAGATGACATTTTCAGGGGTCTAGTGCTATCTCTAGCACCGTGCCTGCAGGTGCTAAATAAATGAGTGTGACCATGATGATGATAATTAACATTATGTGGCATGGCGTAGTGAGATGGAAGGGGACAGCTCAGATCAGGGGGAGAGAAGACAGGACCAGAGCAGCCTTCCCAAAGTATACTCTGTGGGTCCCTAATTCTGGGGAAGGTTAGCGTTTTTCATTCTTTCAACACGTGCTGAAATCCGGGCACTGTATTAGATGCCGGCAGTCAACAAGTGTTCTGTAGACAAAATGAATTCCATGGTTAATATGTTTGGGGACAATTGAGTTAAGCAAAGGGAAACAGGTGTCTTTACTGCAGGACTTCTCAGAGCCTTTCCTATGCCATATATGTATGCTGTGACTCCAAGTGAGGGCGGAGTCTGCAGTTTGCTTTTTTTCAGGGATATCTCTCGGGATTGGTGTTCCATAGAATCACCTGGGGAAATAGATGGCAAAGCAGTTAGGGAAGCGGTCCTGGCTGGGGACCTGGGGACCCTGAGTGGAGTGAAGAATGGAGAGGGTTTAGATTGCAGCAGGTGGCTCGCTGGAGAAGAACAACAAACCAGATGAAGGCATGAAAATGCCTCCGTGGGTCGGCTCAGAGACCTGTTGGCCCAGAATGAAGAGTACGCTATACAGTGTCATAAGAAACGAATTTAGGTCGCTAGCTCCTGGGCTCTGACTTAGGACAGGGGAGTCAGATCAACAGAGTTTTACCTGTTTGAGGGAGGAGACAGAAGTCTCCAAAGGTTTGGGAGTGGTTAATAAAAAAGATGCTTAAAGGTTAGTCTGATGGTAGCCTGCAGCAGGGGCCATCAAACTTTTTCTGTAACAGGACAGATAGTAAATAGTTTTAGGTGTTGTGGGCCATATGGCTTCCATCACAACCACTCAACTCTGCTGTTGGAGCATGTAGCAGCCGTGGACAATACCTAAGTGAACATTTTCCAATAAAACTTTATTTATGGATCCTGAAATTGAAAATAATGTAATTTGCACATGTTGCAAAATATTTTTTCTATTGATTTTTTTTCTTGACATTTCAAAATGCCTAGGTTTAGGGTTTTATAAAAACAGGTGCTGGTCAGATTTAGCCCACAGGCTGTCGCTTGCCGATCCCTGGTCCATATGGTAGATGGGACAGGAAAAACCCCGGAGGCACAGAGATCATGTGAAAGGTGACCGAGTGACACTAGGACTGGCAGGTGCTGGCCAGGTTGCAGGTGACTCTGAGCTGGGCTCTATTTTGGTTAAATTAGGAGGGGAGGGAAATATCAGGGATTGGGTTGCGGGGTGGATAAGTCCAGAATCTCCTCATACAGCAAGGGCACGGAAGCCTACTCATATCAATTATTTGTTCTTCATATGTTCCATCTCAGTTATTGATTGTGGTGTAACAAACCATCCCTAGATTTAATTATGTTCAGGAAACTTTGGGCTTCAGACACCAACTCGTTATTTCCCATGATTACGTGCTTTGGGATTGGCTGGATGGGTCTGCTGGGCTCACGCATGTGGCCACATGCAGCGGGCAGATGGGC